TTAGTGAAGTTAGTCAAGTTAGTTAAGTTAATCAGTGTCCACTTTTTCGACATCTTCACGTCAAAAAAGGCTCAAAACCCTCAGTTTTTTACACTTTTGACTTCGAAATGTGCTTCGCGCCACAACGGCGTGCACTTTTTCGACACTTGTTCGACATCTGAACCTCCAAAAGTGGTCCGAGAATGGTGTTTTCACATTTTGACTTCGAAACGTGCTTCGCGCCACAACGGCGTGCACTTTTTCGACATCTCAACTTCCAAAAAGTGGTCCGGAGCTGAGGTGCTTTGTACATTTTGACTTGGAAATGTGCTTCGCGCCACAACGGCGTGCACTTTTTCGACATCTCAACTTCCAAAAGTGGTCCGAACGTGGTGTGTTTTGTACATTTTGACTTGGAAATGTGCTTCGCGCCACAACGGCGTACACTTTTTCGACAGCTCAACTTCCAAAAGTCGTCCGACACTGAAGTGTTTTGTACATTTTGACTTGGAAATGTGCTTCGCGCCACAACGGCGTGCACTTTTTCGACATCGCAACTTCCAAAAGTGGTCCGCTCCTCTGGTGCTTTGTCACTTTTCACTTGGAAATGTGCTTCGCGCCACAACGGCGTGCAATTTTTCCTCTCTCATCTGGCCAGCTGGCTCCGCACCCGCCGCTTTAGCGAGCCTACTTTTCGACCCTCCGGAGCCACAAATCATTGGAAAAACACAGTGAATCGCGACTTTCCTATCTTTTCGCGCATCTACATCTTCTTTCTTCTGATCTTTTCTCTTCTGACTCTTCTCACCTCTGCTTTTCAACTGTCCATATTGTCGGAAGTATAGCTTCTAAACTTCCTTCGATCATGAAATATCAACAGATTCATCATATTTCATCTCATTCACTTCTGAATCTTGCAGAAAGGGTGTCAGCGGCCCTTTAGCCCCTCAAACATCATGCTGTGGACTTGCAACAGTGGCAACACTGTCTTTTTAACAAGGGCTGCAGGCTGTCCTTGGACGTTGAGATTTGTACAAGTAGAGCATGGAGAACCAGCCAGCGCTGCCAGTGCTTTTCCAGCCCATGGGGTCTCAGGGTCATCTGACTCTGGTGTTTAAAAAAAATCCGGTTTGAACGTGAAAATAAATCCTACACACTAGTCGTTAGTCAAATCTGGAAGTTGTAAACAGGTTTAAACGGTTTAGATTCTTGACATCTTTCTTCTGTGGTGGAGCATCTTCCAACTTGATCTTGATGCCTGGCACAGTTTCTGTCGAATCAAGTTCACCAAACATCCCAATCTTCAGTCGTGAGGCTTGAGCCGCAGGAGACACATGGAGACACTTAACACCAGGTCACCAGGTTGAATTTGCAGCTTTCGGGATGGCCCGACGGCTTGTCGAGTTTGGGCTAGAGTTTTTGCACAAGTATCGAAGACATGCCTGACATGCCTTTCAACAGAACAAAATATACTGCAACCATCTGCAACAAGTTTGAAGATTGAAGCTGCGCAATTTCCACAACGGGCATCAAAGAATCGCCTCGCTTCACTCTGACTTGGAGGCAGCATCAAAGCTCAAGCATTTAGGCACCCTGACCATTGTCGCGCTGGGCGCGGGGGTAGTCTTCATGCGAGCCCACATATCCGGGACATCGTCCAGGTTGTCGTCCTATGCGGCAAACTGGCCCTTGGGCATCTTAGTGAAGCCCCCAAGGTCATGACATGGACATGACATGACATGACATGACATTGTCATGATTATCCGGACAATTATCCGGACTATCCGACTTTCAAGAAGGACACAATGAGCCCACTGACCAAATGAATTCCTGTCACAAAGCTGAGACAAGGCATCGACGTTCCGACTTCATTTAGCACATGGGGTTGCCATACATGCTTCTTTGAACAGAAACATCATAGGCTCACAGGATCCCATAGGTGATCGTAGGTGTCATAGGTGTCATAGGCCTCTGATTTTAGAGCGCCTCTTGTGGACCGTGCAGATCCGTGCAGATCCGTGCAGTCTGTTTGCCGTGCTGTTTGCTGTGCAATCTGCGTCCTCATCAGAGACCTGAGATGCTGCACCGCCTGTGCAGGTGGATGTTGAGATCGACTCAGCATTCGATGTGCCGTGACCTCAGAAATGCGACGCGACATGATTTGCCTGGACTGTGCCTGAAATAAGGATCTTTGGATTAGGCTTTTATTTCCTGCAACTGGATGGTTTTCAAGGTTGGCAACCTCCTTCCGTTTTCATCATAATCTCTCCCGAATCTAAATTCGCAGGTTTTCTACCCTTGTTTTTTGGTCCTGCCGCTTGGGCTTTCCGGCTTTCCGGAGATTGCGGTGAGGCTACCCATCCGAAAGTTGCGGGAGAAGTTGTCATCTGGCGCAAAGAGAATCTAAGAAATACTGATTGGTTTGGACGGCTTGGACTCGCAATTTCCAACCATGTCCCTCTCTGAATGTTTCAAAGACCAATCGAAAGATTCGAAAGGAGATAGAAGACCACAAAAGAAAGCAAAGAAAAACACGATGCTTTCTGGAAGCTATCTGAGTCAGCCACCCTGTCGAAAAAGGACCTTGCAGCCCACACAGCCCAACTGCATGAGAACCAAGCCATGTCAATGACACATGGCGCAAAACCACATGAATCCTATGCTATTCAGCTGCAATTCCATGCTCAGAAGCAACATCTATGTGATGAGACAGCCCAACCCTGATAAAGGTTACTGCATGTGGTGCTGGAAAAGGGTACCACGAACAAATTGCTAGAATATGTTAGTTTAATTTTTAAAACCTGTGGCGGTCAGTATTTGTTCAAAAGCTACCAGTACTACAGTTACTACAGTACTACACAACAATGCGACGGTCCACCAGTCAACCAGCATGAGGCTGGTACAATCAAAGTCATAAAGCTACAGTTGCCACGGTTTCCATGTGTTTTCATGCATTGCAAACTTGGCACTGGCGGCCTTCTTTTTCTAAATGGAACATCCTTTCAAACTCGAATGCAAATGCAAATGTTGCGATGTGAAGGTCACAGCATACAAATGTGCTGCACAAGTCAACACAAGCTAGACATAGCTAGACTCCAACCATCCCGTCTCCGCGTCTGGGCAAGTCGACTCTGGCAACTCATCATCGTCCTGTGGAAACGATTGCTCTGCTTGAAAACTCAGTCAACACGGCAACAGCATGCAACAGCAATCAAATGGAATTCCAACATCTACAGCACGGCTGCAGAATCTACAGCAGTCATGGTGCGAGGCAAATACGCCAAACTTGAACCGCCAACAGTCAACTGCTGCTATAATTAGGCTTGCCAGGCAAGAAAAATCAACTTCATTCAGAAGCACTTTACATGTTTATAGATTTTTGCAACTACCACTCTGCAAGGCAGTGAAAAAAAGGACAAGTGATGGACTTCCCGCGGTTTTGTTCCGTCTTGTTCCTCCTATCTATATCTTTTCAAATATCTTTTCAATTTTTTCAAATATCTTCACATTTTTGTGTTTGACCTTCTAACATTCTTTTAACAATCCCTTTACATAATTGTTATTAATTGTTTACATGACTCCAATTGACTCCATGACCCCTTTTTAGCCGCAGTGCCGTCTTGCCATGTCTTGCCGCCTCTGTCAGGATGGTCTTGCTGTGCTTCTCTCGAGCCTTTCCTCGAATAGATGGCTTGCAATGCTAACACTTTGCACTGTGAAATATTGGAAAATACGGTTCCCGTATTGTAAAATATTGTGGTTTGCAAAGTACAAGGAAGGTGACCACAGCTAGTTGCTGGTTCTTACTGAAATTAGAGGGTTAAATGTTAACATGCACATGCAAAAACAAAAGATGTCATCACCAGAGAAGGGTTCTTTTCTGCGAGATGCAGTTTGTGCACTCAGAATCTGAGGACACAAACTGCCACCACGACGACCAGAGCGGCCAGGCAAACCAATTTGGCTCACCTGGCAGGTAAAGTAATCCAGAGTTTTTCGATGTTTTTCGTTTATGTCCAGCTGCATCCAGCTGCAATCGCTGTACGTGTCATACGTGTCATACGACAAAGAAACTTTCCGAATGCAATCGCCTCCGCATCATCCAGGGCGAACTCCTTCCCCTTGGGGAGGTCCGCCAGCTCTGCAGGGTCATGAGCATGGCGGCCTTGGAAGCAGTGACATCTAAACATTTAGGAGTTTAGGAGCAAGTGTTTCACTACGTATGTTTCACATTGTTTCACTATGTCATACTTCAGCAGATACAAAACAAGGAAAAATCAAGTTCCGCATGTGCTGTGGCTGTGAGCGTTGCTTTCGCTCATGACAATTGTCAATATTGTCGTCATCTTTCTCAACGTGTGGCTACTGAGTCCCTTGAGGCATCAGCATGCAGATCCAAGTTTGCACTGACCCACTCGGAAAAAACCTCAGCATTTGCTCGTCAGCATTCGTCAGCATTCGTCAGCATTTGCTCATTTGTCGGCGGAGTACTTCCGTCCGCCACAAAACACTTGGAATTACTGGGAGACTTTACGTCTCAAGGAAAACTAGGCTTCGGCCGGTCCGAAGGCTTTCTCAAGGGTGCGTAACCAAAGTGAATTAGAAAAGAATGAAAGCCAATGCATCAACATGTTGTATACAAGGAACGCACGACCGTCATGGTGGGAAACATCTCTTCAATGCAGTCACATCAAAGATCATCAAAGGGTCTGCACCAAACGTCAGAAGACAAGCGACCACGTGTGGGTACAGTGGGTATATCCTAGGTGTGCAATCCAACAGCTCCGAGTCACCGAGGGTTCAGGTTCCAGGGTTTCAGGCGTCCTTTCCGGCCACACCTTGCATCCTTGATGCCAAGACCCAGAGATGATCCCACCAAGCACGGCTGTATACGGCTGTGAATTTGGGGGGACAGGTCTGGGAATGTGCAGCGCGCCTCGCTGGTGCAATGACGACAAATGTCCTTTCAAATTGTGCATATGCACTTATGCAATCTTATGCACCCCTGCTAATTCACATGCTGCGGACAAAGCCACATCATTTGTCGGATCGTAAGTGTACCATCATGTAGCAATGTGTCGTTCCTACTCATGTAGTAACGCCTGTACCTGCATCGCTTTCTTGCACACCCAAGTCGCTCCACGCTAAAATTGCATATTCATGGCATTCCGAGACTCATGCATGTGAAGCACAGGATGATGAAATCTGAAGTATGAATGCAAACCTCCATTCTTGTTGCACCAAAGAGATCAACCCTGTAGAAGAAAACAACGGTTTTGCCTTTTGCTTGCTGGTCCATTACGAGAAGACTTAAGCTCAAGCTCCATCTAAGGGATCAGCATGGACAATTCTAGAGAGATGACACCTTGCGCTGATATGCGCTGGTAGAACAAGCCAAAACGTTTGCATGGAGCGCACTAGTAGGAGACAAACGGAGACAGATTCCATCCAATTCCTGGCATTCCTGACCGTCGCTTATGTCCACCAAGTCAGCACAGAGTCAGCACAGAGTCAGCCACACAATCAGATCGGGTCCAACAGGCCACATTTGTTGCAAGCAATTGGATCAGTAGAAATAGATCTGCAAGGAACCCAGAAATGCAAAGCCCAAGATGGCACTTCAGGACACTTCAGGGTTCAAGTTTCTTCAGTAAATTCCAGCGTGGATGCGTGAGTGTTCCGCCAGTTACAAGTGAAGGATCCAAGTGAATGATCAACATCGATCAACTATAAATCGAAACTCAAGTCTGAACTCGAGTCTCTGAGAGTCTCTGAGGGTCTCTGAGGGTCTCTGAGGGTCTCCGAGAGTCTGACTGCACATTGATGTCTTGTAGAATTCATTGGTGGCACGGAGCTCCTGCCATTCCAGGGTATTCCAGGGTATTCCGGGGTATTCCGGGGTCATCCCGATGTCCCGTGTGTGTCGGTGCAGTCCTCCACGTTGTGAGCAAAAAGGCAGCCAGGCCTGGACAGATTGGACAGAGGGAATGCATGGCGATTCGACAGATTCGACAGAGATCTTACATCTTAGATCGTCTCAGGCCTTGCCCCAGGGTCTTCCATGTTGCATGAGCTCAAGGAGTAACCAACTAACATAAGGAGTTATAATGAGTTTTATTAAATATATTAAATATATGGAGAGCAATACGGAGTATCTACAAATTGCAAAGAGTTCGGTTTAGGCAGTGTTCCCCGAAAATTGCGGAGCGTTTGTCTCTCTAGATTCAGCTGCCATATCTGCCATGGCGCTTACAAGGCTTACCGGGCTTGCCTTGTACACGAACCAGTGGTCAGCAAATCTCTGCACAATGACCTGACAGAGCCGACATACCGTGCCTTCCGAACCTCCAACTGAGCCAACTTTACGGCAAATAGGCAAGGTAACAGTGTTATGGTAACAGATCATCGAACGCCAGTGGTAACAGAAAAAATGTTGTACACATTTGGTACATCCTCTGCTGTGCTGGTGGTCTTTATCTCCACGCAACTTCTGCACTGTTTTATATTTTTTCATCATATCTCCAGGACAAGTTTGACCACGACCAAAACTGCAATCTGCCAGCGTTCTGCAAAAGTTTCATTCGCCTTTATAAGACAAGAGTGCCCATCCTCACAGTCTAACCGTTGGATAAACCTGCAAGATAGTGATAGTGATCCTCCCATTTGAGGACGGCTATCATGGCTATCGATCGAAGAAATGTTGAGAATATGTAAGAGCTAGCACCCTAAGAACAGGATCGAACCCTGCGTCTTTTGCTCCTCATTGTGCAGATTACTATAGACTATAGATACTATAGACTACTAGACTGTTACTAAACTGTTACATCTGTTGCATCTCTTACTAGAGCTGGTCTGAGGTCACTACGTCTTGGTGAGATTTGGCATCTCGTTGAGCTCCTGCACTGAACTGTCAACAGGTCATGGATCGTGCAACGAGTCACGCAAGAGGACAATGTGGTCACATGATGCAATGTGGTGCACATAATGAAACAGTGCAGAAAATAGGCAAAAACATCCAAAATGGACCTCGCAGGAAAACATCTTGCAATCCTGATAATCCTGGTCCTCTGAAAACACGACTGTCTTGTCGTGCAGATTTTGGTGCTGATCGGATGGATCAAGCTGCATTTCAATGTCCTTGTCACCATGCGCATATTTGCAATCGAAGCCGCGCGTGCAGGCCCCCTGCACAAATCGGCACTCTACAGGGTTTTTGCAGGCTTTTCTGTGAACAATTTGATTGCATGAGTGTCAGTAGGTAGCAATACAGTTACAGTAAGAGCCAGAAAACTGGGTAAGGGTGGGTGGGAATACACCTTTGCAACAGCAACTTGTACAAGGACAAAGACTGTACATGTCCATAATGGCAAAGGTGCTTCAAATCCACAGCTTTCCAATCAAGCTCACAAATATTCACGTAGAAGTGCGTGGATCATGATTCATGTAGTCGTTGCTCCCACCTTCTCCCAGAACATGCACATCTTTGTTTTGAAGAACTGATCTTCATATCGCCTGCACGAAACTCCGAGTTTAGTCAGTTATCCCTTTTTTCATATTTTTTCGATTTTAGTCATGTTCGTCAAGTTTTCTTTCATTGCATCATTGTTCAGGTAGAAGCTGCTTCAACAGGCTTCAAAGCATTTCTCCACTCCAAAGTTTTCAAAGACCCCAATTTGCAGCTCTTTCCGAAGTCTTTCCCGTCTCGCGCTGCAAGAAGGAGCCGTGAAGGAATGGTGATAGGATCCGATAGGCCAATGCTATGCCAATGCTATGCCAATTTGCCGCTTCGAGGTGAAATCTGGGCTCCAAGCGTACCACGGACAGCCTGCTGTGCAGGGGCTTTTGCCTGGCAGAAGCCACCCCTTTCCATCCTTTCCTTATTAGCCTTATTGGTTGGGGTTGTTGTCTGAAATATCTCGAAATAGTTTAGTTTAGAATGCAATAATATATAATAATATAATATAAAATATAGTTCAAATATACATAAAGAAGAGAAACATTCAAACGTGTAGAAGAAAGAGATACAACCATGCAATGGAAAGTTCCAGTAACTGGAATTGAGACCTCCTGGGCTGATTAAAATGATTGAAGGCATGTCTCGCACTACTACTATTTTAAAGAAACTTTCTCTAAGATACAGGAATCCAGAGGAGGCAATCAGGTCCAGAATCTGTAGTCAATGTCAATAATGAAAGTTTGCTTGACCTCCTGCCCTCGGCGACGACGAGGCTCCATCTGGCAACAAATCAACTTACTTCTGCAAGAAGCGCTACAGTATCAAATCCATACGAATGTTGTTAGACGTCATATTCTGGATATTTTGTAGGTTAGGACCCGTGAATGACAACTTCTTCAAGCCACAAGCCACAAGCAACAATAACCTGCTTTGTTCGATGTGACTTAATTCATGTTGATGCCGTTGGATCCTGTTTGTGCAGTTTGCGGTTTTTATTCGCACACCATTTCCACACCTCGGCCGCACCAACGGGCACTTGGGCAAGTTCAGCCCGGCCTGCAGTTCATGCTCTGGCATTGAAAGGTTCCAAACTAGTGACGTGGCAAGAAATGCGAGAAACACACAGAAGCAACTGAGAAAAGTTGCAAGAAATAAACTTGCAGTGAAATTACCGCTGTCTTGTCTCAACAAACTAATCCTGGCTGTTCTTTTTGCGGTGTGGCCAACCTCGCCTTCCAATCGTTGGCAGGGCAAACAGCTATGAGCCAAATGCAGCGGAAACTAAGGCTGGCCTAAAAGGACAAAGAACCCTCTCTACTCTTCTACTATCCTTCGACCATGGATTCAAACCCTCGACCGATTGTAGGAAAACTGCAAGCTCGCTCACCTCTTTCACTTTCTTTCACTTTCCGATTCCAAAACATTCCAAAACATTCCAAAACATTCCAAAACATTCCAAAACATTCCAACGGACTGATTAGGCCGATTGGGCCGGGTTTGCACCATCTTGCAGAGTATCAGCATAAATTGGGACAGAACTCCGTGGCCCCCAAGACATGCCAAGACATGGCAAGGGCCACGACAGGCCACGAAACAGCGAATCTGTCCCAACCTCAGCGGAGAATCTTCCAATTGGGCAAAGGATTTAGAAGATGCAGATGCAATGATGATGCCATGACAATGCAAATGCAGATGGCTGTTTCCAAACTCAGTGCTGAGGGGGGTTGGCCTATGTTGGCGTGTGGAACAGTTTGACCTTCAAAATGCAAAACTGCTGTTGGACCACTGTGATCGAGTCATCGATACCGGTAATATGATTTGATACCCTCTACATTGCACGACATCAAGCCATGGCTAAACGGATGGCACTGGTGCTCAAGAGGAGAAACATGTTCAAAGCGGCATTTGTCGCGACGACTATGAGAGATGACTAGAGCAACATCATGTGAAATCTATCACTGAAAGCCTTTTAAACACTCCCCAGTAGTTGGGAGAGGTTCTGGATGGGACCTGCATTACCACAGCTGCAGCAGTCTTTTGCTTCCTTCGCGGTGGCTATTTCTGTCCGGCACCAGCTTCAACTGAACACAGCTCCCCATACGGAAGAAAAAACAAGGGTGGCAATGGGACTAAAGTGACTAAAGTGACTAAAGCTACCTGTAGACTCTGTAGACTTTATTGCCTGTGTTGCATGGGGAGCAACACGTATGGGGAGCCATGTCCAATTCCCTCCCATTAGCGCTTCGCCCGTGGCATGGCCATGCCGCAGCCACCGCAGCGCGGCTACCAACCAGGAAATTCAGGGATCAAAACAAAGAAATGAGAAATGAGAAATCACAATAAATCTCTCCAGAAGAAGCGTCACCCCATGATATGTTCTATTCAAATAACCATACTGATCTTTCATATATATAATATAAATATATAAATAATATGTAATAATTCATGAAAAGATTACCTGACTCTGCTGACTGGAAAAGAACCTCTGTGACTCTGTGATTTGCATGCTGCAAATTCTTGATTTTGACTGGGGAAATTAAATGTAATTAAGGTATTAAAAATAATTATAATTACTACGGGTCTATGGTCTATATGGTCTCTCGTTCCCAAAGGCTGAGCAGCCAATGAGACACCCTCTCCCGTTGTCCACACCGCAAATGGCTACAATGGATCGCGGGGATAACCGGGATAACCTTCACCGTGCAAATCATTTGAAAGCAGCATGGCTCATGACAAATTAAAACGTTCCAAAACCGTGCAGGTTTGCAATGTTGTCAGCTAACAAAACTGCGTGTCCCTTTCCAATGCACTGCACCAAGACTTCGGCACAAGGTTGCCTCAGGTGGACCCTTGCATCAGAGATCGTTTCAACTCTGAACTAGCTTTTTTCGCGACTCTGGCAGAGACATGCAGTATTTTGACCCGAACGCACATTGTTGAAGCATTTGAAGCATGTTGAAGCATGTTGAAGCTAGGTGCTATGCATAGTTATGCAACAGATTTTCGGCTGCGGTCCATTGCAACTACTCAACTACTTGGCAACTGCTTAGCAAGTACTGAATTGCTTTGCCCCGAAAAGCTTTCTGCCAGAGTGAGCTAGTCTTCCTGCATGGCGTTCTCAAAGAGGAAATTTGCAGCAAGCTCCTGCAAAGTCGCGCTTTGCATCAGAAAATAAAACGTAATGACGTGATGAAACTGTCACGAAAACACGGTGAATCCAAAGGGAAGCTGAAGAGAAGCTGCCGGTCTTTGGCTTTTTGTTGCCTTTTTTGTTGCTCCAACAACTGCCTCTCTATGCCTCTCTCGCAGCCCGTCCTCGTTCTTGTCACAGGCCTCTGCATGGCAGGGTTTTGGGCAGTATCAGTCACTAGCAGCAATCAACAAACCACTACAAACCGTTGAATCTCTAGACTGGCACACTCTTCACAAGCTATCATTTCTAGTTTAAACGTTACACACGTGTTGCAATATCTACTAACTTCATAGATCAATTCCTAGCAAGTCCAGCTTCCTACAGTATCTTCCTTGGAGTCCGGCCAAGTATGCTTGAACCGTCATCCCCCTGTCGAATCCAAGCTCGGTAAGCCTTCCACACGCAGTTGGCAACAAGAAACGAAGTCAGTTGAAAGGATTATAGACCCAGGATTCAGAGTGCGAAAATGTCTACATTGAATTCAATCTAGACTCGTGCATAATATCCATAAAAAGCAAGACAAACAGAAAACAACACAAAGGAAAAAAACATATTAGGAACAATAAAAACTGTGTGGTGCGGGCAAAATTCCTCGTGAGCGCTAATCAATGTTCCATGGCTCAGAAATGCAAAGCAAGTTTCAAGCTTTGTCTGGGAAGCTCCACAGCGCCAGCAGAGGTACCAAGTCATTGCAAGTGTCTTTATTGAACTTTCTGTCAGAGACAGGTACTCTTTATTGCCTCGGCACTGACTCCGGATTTCTATCAGGCCTCTGAACAGCCTCTCCCTCTTCTGGTGTCAATCGCACCACCTGTGGGACAGGTTTTCGGCTCCTATGTTCTTTATGGTTCTCTTGCATGTGGAACTGTGAAACATGTCAACTGACACATGTGGAGGGGAGGGGAGAGAGAGAGAGAGAGGGCAGTGGGGAGGGCAGTGGGGAGGGCAGTGGGGAGGGCAGTGGGCAGACATCCCCCACATTCTTCACATATTCGAGGGATTCCACCAGCAGGCATCCAATCCCATCAGATGCCACGGCGTCTCTGAAGCACTGAGAAGCCACGAAGTAAGACACACGAAGTAGGACACATCGTAAGACAATGCATTGAAATAGGTTGAAAAATGTTGAAAAAGGTTGCAATAGGTTAAAATAGGTTAAAATAGGTTGAAAAAGGTTGAAATAGGTTGAAATAGGTTGAAATAGGTTGAAATGGGTTGAAATAGGTTGAAATGGGTTGAAATAGGTTGAAATAGGTTGAAATAGGTTGAAAAAGGCTGAAATAGGTTGAAATAGGTTGAAAAAGGTTGAAAAAGGTTGAAAAATGTTGAAATAAGTTAAAATCCGCCGACCCCGGCCGACGCAAGGGGGAGCGCGTAAGGGAAGAAGATGGAAATTAGGTGGTGTTTTGCTGTTTCGGAAGCGTTTCGAAACAGTAGGCCCAGCCATAATATTGTTTAGGCGATTCTGGGGGATTCGGCCGAAACAGCTGGCCCAGCTACCGGAGATTCTGGGGGATTCGGCTGAAACAGTTGGCCCAGCTAGGATTCTCGAAGTAGGATCTAAACTAGGATCTAGATCTAGATCTAGGATTCTCTAGGATTTCAGAAGGGACGTTAGGCAGGTTTCTGTAATATTGTTTAGGCGATTCTAGGGATTCGGCCGAAACAGCTGGCCTAGCTACCGGAGATTCTGAGGGATTCGGCTGAAACGGCTGGCCCAGCTAGGATTCTCGAACTAGGATCTAAACTAGGATCTGGATCTAGATCTAGGATCTGGATCTAGATCTAGGATTCTCTAGGATTTCAGAAGGGACGTTAGGTAGTTTTCTGCCGCGATTTTTCGTTATTTTCGGCACGAAATTAGGTGGTGTTTTGCTGTTTCGGAACCGCTTCGAAACAGCAGGCCTAGCTGTAATATTGTTTAGGAGATTCTGGGGGATTCGGCCGAAGCAGCTGGCCTAGCAAGGATTCCCGAAGCCGCGATTTTTCGTTATTTTCGGCACGAAATTAGGTGGTGTTTTGCTGTTTCGGAACCGCTTCGAAACAGCAGGCCTAGCTGTAATATTGTTTAGGAGATTCTGGGGGATTCGGCCGAAGCAGCTGGCCTAGCAAGGATTCCCGAACTAGGATCTAGATCTAGATCTAGGATAGATCTAGAGATCTAGATCTAGGATTCTCTAGGATTTCAGAAGGGACGTTAGGCACTTTTTTGGCGTGGTTTTGGAACTAGTTCGTCCTTCAGAGCCATGGTGTTTTCCTGCCGGGAGCTGCTTTTATGCTTTTTTCGAAGTTGTTTTCGGAAAAAGGTTGTTTTTCTAGGATTTCAGAAGGGACGTTAGGCACTTTTTTGGCGTGGTTTTGGAACTAGTTCGTCCTTCAGAGCCATGGTGTTTTCCTGCCGGGAGCTGCTTTTATGTTTTTTTCGAAGTTGTTTTCCTGCGAGCGGGCGCAGGCAACAGAAATTCTCGAAAAATGTTGTTTTTCTAGGATTTCAGACGGGACGTTAGGCACTTTTTTGGCGTGGTTTTGGAACTAGTTCGTCCTTCAGAGCCATGGTGTTTTCCTGCCGGGAGCTGCTTTTTTCGAAGTTGTTTTCCTGCGAGCGGCCGCAGGCAACAGAAATTCTCGAAAAAGGTTGTTTTATGTTGTTTTATGTTGTTTTTCTAAGATTTCAGAAGGGACGTTAGGCACTTTTTTGGCGTGGTTTTGGAACTAGTTCGTCCTTCAGAGCCATGGTGTTTTCCTGCTGGGAGCTGCTTTTTTCGAAGTTGTTTTCCTGCGAGCGGCCGCAGGCAACAGAAATTCTCGAAAAAGGTTGTTTTATGTTGTTTTATGTTGTTTTTCTAAGATTTCAGAAGGGATGTT